ATATAGTAGTTTATCTAATTATTTCGAAGAGATTTATTAAAAGTATCTATGATGAATTTTGACTCTGCGAAGCGAAAATAAATAAAGTAATTATGAGCAGTTTATCTCAGCGAAAATGGGTAGCGCGTTTGCTTTTATTCGAATGAGTACCACATGTTTCTTGGCCTTTGATAGAATTGAAGAACTTAAATTGTAATCGACCGAGATGATCTTGATAAATAGGTACATGTTCTCAGATTATTCAATAGAAAAATTGAGAAAACTAGGAAACTGATTCTTATTTTTCGACAAGAGGAACACATAGTGGATTACACCAAACGAAAACATGTATCTAGTTTCAGGTTCCTAGAAATGAATATCCATATAGAGTGCCGGGTTCTCCGGGACGAGGAACTCACATGGGGTTCCGGATTCCTGGGAACCCGGGAACTCCATGGGTTCCGGGTTCCTGAGAACCCGAGAGCCCAAACCTCATAGGGTTCCCGGATGCCCAGGAACCCGGAACCCTATGTGGGTTCCAGTTCCCAGGAACCCGGAAACCCATACCAACTTTCTGCAAAAAGGCCTAAAAAGGCGATGTGAATATTCCTTTGTGTTTAGAAATGCATAAAAATGGATCATGAAGTGGGTTCCGGGCTCCCGGAAACGGAACCCTAGGGAACGGGGAACCCTGACACCCCTGGTGTGGGGTGTGGGTGTGGGTGTGAGTCTTTTATTCCTTCAGAACGCCCACTGCCACACCCACCCACACCCAGCTTATACAATCAGTGATCATTTACCAATATTATCCATATTCTTTCGTCTTAATGTTTTAAGTGACAAGTACCTTGTACGTCGAACTTATTGGAAATTATACTCATCGCTTCTTATTGTACTTTATGATCAACTACGAGCTGAACAAGAGATCGTTTTGAATGACTCTAACAACACATACGATTGGTTTTTTAGGTTTGAACAATTTCTGGCTGCCCTTAAGCTTCAGGCAACAGTATAACAAGAAGTCAAACAAATACGACCATCTATTTCATTATCATTAAGAATTCTTCTTCGTCATAAACATTATTTACAAAATAAATATCGACATACAAAATATGAAGAAGACCGACTAAGATTGAGGTCATGGGATACACTGATTAAACAAGAATTTGAAGCGCATAGACAACGAAGTTGAGAACAATTTATATCAAATGTTGCTTCACCAAATCCAACGACATTCTGGCGCACTGTAAAAAATCTGAGCAAGAAGAAATCAATTGATTTTTCGGCCTTAGCAGATGATAATACAGTGCATCAATCGCGGAAGACATTGTCAGGTGCTTAGAACAACATTTTACTGACCGTCATTCACAACTTGTTTTGAGTATGATGAACATGCTTGATGAAGAAGCAACTGAATTATGGGAATTATATAGTTTAGCTGACGAAGAAGACATTAAATCAATATCTAGTTATTCTGATCTTCAATTTACCGAACAAGATATAAAAAATACAATTCGATCATTGAAATGTAAAACCTCATCTAGTTTTGATCAAGTATCTAATAAAATGATCAAGCTGCTTTGTGCCCATTTCCATGACATGCTTACACGTGCTTATAATGAACTCTTTCAAGCTGCTCATTGGGGAAAGGAATGGAAAATGGCTCGAACTATTTGCCTCAATAAATGCGACAATCCAGCATCAACGACAAATCAATTGCGACCGATTTCGATGCTGCCAACATTTAGTCAAATTTATGAGAGATTATTCCTATTCAAATTTAACAGTTGGTCAACAATAATGAATATTTTACCAGTTCAACAATCAGGTGCAAGACGGCGTCAAGCCACAAAATCTCGAGCCAATTGCTTATTAGAACAAATTACCCAGTCCCTACGTTACAATACGTTTACTCCTGTCATCTATATTGATTTTTTACGAACTTGAGGGTGGATTTGGGTGTGGAATGTGAGTATGAATGTTTTCTCCTTTACACTGACACCCATATTCACACCCTTTTTGTTCAAAAATGATGAAAAAATGGTCTTATTATGTACTATCATATTGCAAACACTACTTATTCATTTAAGAAAATGGAAATAATAATGGTTTCATCGGAGAATGAGCTACAGTTTGACACCAATGGATCATCTGCTATTGCTGTCAAACTTGTAAAAAACATACCTTTTTAGTGAACGTAAAAAAGAACTGATGAGTGCGTTACCGTAATGTTTTGGCGGTAACTCGTTGTAGGAACAAACTTTCAAAAAGAAAATTTTACCATCGTAAAATCGGCTCTCTTAGCCACAAACGCTCATACGAACATTCTTTTCTGAGCGAGAAATTTTCTAGAAATGTGAGCCTTTCTAAGCCGTTCTAATGGAAGAGGTCCTTTTGAATGGGTGCGTTACTATGACTTTCTATCCTCCTAGATTCATCACGGTTCATCCAAATCAAATAAAAATTTTAGTGAAACTAAAACTTTCATATATCTTGCTGCAATGTAAGTTTCAGCTCTTTGTCACGTTAGAGTTATGAGTTGTGATCATCCGAAGGTCAAAAATGGTTGTGTGTTACTTGTTGACAGATTGTATACATGGTTGGATTCAAAACTTGTCTTAGATATATTAGGGAAAAAATGAAAAGTTAAGACAAGCAAAAAAGCTTGTTAGCGCAGCCTCTTTGGGGCTGAAATGTGGAACTCACATATACTCTCTACTCCCAGTAAACTAATATAAAACGCGTAAAGTGAAAAACCTCGGAAAGACTATAGCTGTTTTGCACGATAATCGATGCGCAGAGTAATGATCTATCTAATTTCTGCATTTTTAACAAATTTTTTAAAATATTTCTACGGCGCCTTATTTTTTTGTTTTCATTGTTGCTATTCGCTCATTATTTTTCTTTTTTTCTAAGTCATTTTTCTTAATTTAACATTCTCATTATTATAATCATTGAATTACTTGATAATATTAGTCTGTTTTATGTATTCATGATATCTACAGACGATCTTACATACTATCATATATATTAATCAACTCATAGATAATGATGTTCATTATTCTTCAAAATTATAACTTGATCGATTTTACAAAAAAAATACTTTAGAAAAAATAACGCCTGCTATTTTCGATTGCTAAGATCTGTAATGAGGGGGGGATCTGTAATGGGTGCCTGCGTTGCTATGGTCTGTANGTGGGACGGTTGGGCGAAGGGGCGGGCGCGGCCGGGGCAGGAGGGGGGCGGGAGCGGGGGCGAAAAGTCGAACTTAAAACTTACACTCACTATTTTCTTCGAAAATATGTGAGTTCCACAAAACTGAAAAGTATGCATGAAAATGGTGATAGAATAGTGCAACTCTATAGTGATTTAACTGGAGTGGCGTCATTTAGAATAATCAAATCTTGGATTAAAATGATCGACAGCACTAGCTCTATCAATCTGTCACATCCTTTCGGTCGTCCACGCACAATTCGGACAAAAGCCAATATTTCAAATGTGAAATGGCGCCTTACTCAGAAGAAGTGAGCGTCAACAAGAAAATTAACTGTTGATATTAATAATTATATTCAAGTGTATAGGTTTAAGTGTAAAGTGCCATTCGTTTCTCTTCAAAATGAATCAAAAGGAAAGCATCAAAGATAATGTTTTTGTTGATCTACGGAGACTTTCATGAACCTCTCGGAACATTAGAATAAGAACAATGACTTTCCATAAGCAGAAGAAGTCAAAGCTTTCTTGCGCAGAATAAGTTCATGCAAATTTTTTCTGAACAGAGCAGAAAGATACAGCTTTTTATGGGCTACAGAATGGCTAATTAATATCTCCTATGTCCTATCTATATATATCAAGCAACAACAAAAACTATGAAAAAAGTTTGACATTTTTGGAGTTTTAGAGGACTTTCAGAATATCTCATGCAATTTTCTATTATCACACTATAAAACAACAATTTTAGCACATTTCTGTAGAGAATTTCACGGGAAATTGTTTTGTAAAAAAAACTAGCTCGATTACATTAAAATAAGAAGAGAAAAATTGAAAATACTGAGAGTGCAATTATTTATGGGTCACCAGTTACATATTTCAAAATAAAAAATAATTTTATTTTTTTCTATTACCTTTTGCTTCTCGATATCATTTAAGATATAATTATGTTTTCATGTTATTTTGTGTGCAAGATTCACTGTGTGCAAATCACTGAGACAAATCGTTTTCGTATGCAATGCGCGCATCTTGTGTGAATACTTTTGCGATACAGTATGTAATAAAAACAAAAAGCATAAGAGAAAAAACAAGCAAATTAAGAAAGAGTAAGAAACGTTTAAAACCCATCACTGCAAAGGTAAAAAAGAATCATTCAAATAAACATGCAAACAGTGTTACATACACACCAACAAACCTAACCAACAGCAACTCACCACAAAACTTACTTTATATATTGGATTTTATTGATTTCCTTCTGGTGAGTAACTTATTAGAACAATACAAAAAAGGGGCTGCATGTTAAACAGGAATTAGACAGATTTCAAATTGATCTGAATGCCCGACTTCTTTTTTTCGACGATCGTTCAATAAATTGTTGCTAGGTAGTAGTCTCCTTGGTTCATTTTGCTGTCTTCATCTCATTTCTATTAACTATTTTAATTAGTTTCACTGCATTGACGAGTTCCTTATCATGCATAATAGACTTTCTCGCTGTTTTACTAATACTATGCATCATGTTTCGTTAATCAAAAGACAACCGTTGAATTATCAACATTTGGGATGCACCAATTCCTAGAACATGGTATGAACGATGGCATTTGTTTCTGATGCAGAATGTAGTTGTCTGTGGATTTTGTGTATCAGCCAAGACCATTTTTTTTCGCGCTATCCGAAACTGTAGTCAGAACTCATGAAACATAAAACAAAGAATTCGAATTTAACGTGGAGTTGACTAAAAGTTCGAATTTTCTATTGTGTTTTTTTCGATAAATTCCTGTCAATTCCAACTCAATTTCATACTTGTCTTTGGTGTTACCAAAAACTTGAGGATAGATTTTAAAAGGGCATTCAAAACTGAACACAACTAACATGAAAACTTGCTGCGATGGCTATAACTCTCAAGGCTGAAAACTTTTGAAAATCTTATTAGAAATTCAAAGAATTGACAGAATTGATTTTCCTCTGTTTACAAAAATACATGCCCAACATCGAGAGTTATCGACATCGCATCAATTTTTCATTTTAGTTGTGTTCAGTTTTGAATGCCCTTTTCAAATCTATCCTCAGGTTTTGGGTCACACAAAAGACAAGTGTGAAATTGAGTTGGAATAGACTGGAATTGGTCGACAAAAAGATAGAAAATTCGAATTTTTAGTCAATTCCACGTCAAAGCCGAAACCTTTGTTTTATGTTTCATGAGTTCTGACTACAGTTTGGTATAACACAAAAAAAATTGGTCGTGGCTGATGCGCAAAATCCACAGAGAACTGCATTCTTCATCAGGAACAAATGTTATCTTTCATATCATGTTTTAGAAATTGGTGCATCCCTCATCAACAAAATGAAACTAAGGTTTTGTTGATAATATGTACGCAAATGCTACAAATGCTTCGTGTAACTCATCGAAGCCTACGTGAAAGATCAAGTGACTTCAATCGAGCATTTTTTCCGTGATCATACCCACGATAGTTTGAGATTGTCTGAAAGTTTTACGCATGACACTGTCATATATGATTAACCTTTCCTATTCCTTTCTTGTAATGCTAATCATTCTTTCATACATTGTAATCACTATTCATTACTATGATCTTGATCGATTCTTTCATTCATATTGTGAGTTTAATTAATCTAATAATGAGAAGTTCATCAGATTAACAAATAACTAAATGGTTCAAAGTATCTATAGATGCTCATCTTCGAGGTTTATTTGTGAGATATATTAAAATATATCTTGGTTTACTAAATATACCAGCTCTATGAAGATATAGCCAGATCTATAGGGATCTATAGAAGTCTAACAGGCTTTGCTACCGATCTAGATCTCATTTTCAACATAAGAAAAAAAAATTTCCGTTGTAAGTTTCAATGGAGTAGTATTTCGCTTGCGGTAATTACATGCAGGAAATTATCGTGTACAGAGTTTAACACTGAAGTGCAATACGAAAGATAGACGGTAAAATACTTCGTGATGCACATCAATCTGGAATTTGGCGGGGGGGGGGGGAGCAGAAATTTCTGGTCATAGAGAGATTCAGAACAGTGAGCACAAAACTTCGACTCACATCGAGATACACTGTGGCTTGAACAAAAATGCAACAAGTCATACATGAATGTCTTGGACAATTAAATGTTTTACATTGATTTTCCAAAAAAATTCATTCAGGTTTTTTCATGCTTCATCCGAGATTTGAGAAATACAGAGATAAGAGTTACGTAGAAAATATATAGAATATAGTGCCATGATCTACGGGCCTACTTAAGTGGCAATCCAGGCTATTATGGTGCCATATGGTATCGATATCGTAGGGACCTGACGTATTAAATTAATTGTGTATATTTGTTGACCGAAAGAATATGTACTGTAACAATAAATTCAGTCTTCTTCACTTCAATGGATCTTAATGGACTATGTAAATGATAGTTATAATATATAATCCATGCTTGTTATAGAATAATATCAAGTTTCATAAACATGTTAATAAGAAGCAAACTTTTCAATATCCAAAAACAAAAAAGTTGTCATAGAAGAAGAAAGTTAAGTGAAATAATTTCAAGTGTAAAAAACGAAGAAAAAATAAAAATAGATTTCTAAAACTATTCATTTAATTCGTTCTGTATTTACTGTGAAATTATTCAACTATCTCCATAGCTGAAATTGATTAGTTAAACATTGTTCTTATACCTATAATACATTCCGTATTTCTAATTAAATTGGTTACCTACATATTGATATATCATTT